AAGAACATGTCACATGTCAAATGAAGAAGTGGGACATTACCCAAAAATCCGCCGACCCCGCCGACGGCAAGGGGAAGCACGTCAGAGGACATTACAATCGGGCAAGACAGGAGCAAACTGCAAGAGCCAGAGAGAGGGAAGCAGACAAAAGAAGAACGCAAGGAGAAAGACCACCGCCGATTAAGATCCACTGAGCCTATACCGGCCCCAGTTCCCAGTAATTCTTAATCCTGGATAATATTCTCGGGGGTAAAAAAATATCTTCAACCATTCACAACTTCATCCATTTCATCCCTCCAGCCGGTCTTTTGAACAATTGCTCAACCAAACAAATTAACCGCGCATGAATACGTGTATTACAACCACTAGTCGCATAAGGGGTCGGCGTGAAATGGCATCTACAAATTACAAGTGAATCACCGCCAAATAGTGAAATAAAAAAAACAATCCAATGGAATGCAGTCAGCAAATCTGAATGTGTGCAAATCACTCTGAATGGAAATTGGACGCACATCCACTCTCCTTTTTTTCCGCGGGGACACACGAAAGGTATTGCGGCCATCTGCCCAAGTTCGTCACAATGGTCGCGCCACAAACGTACGAAAGTGGAGTCACTTCAGTGACCAACATTCGATACATCCATCTGTCACTTATCCACATCGAGGCGCTGCACAGTTACAGTAATGGCTTGGTAGCAAGTCTGTTGGAATGTCACAAGGTTCAGTCGTGCATCTTGTAAGGACACAAATACTGGGTGTCCATGGACATGGAGATCCTCCATCAAATCAGTCAAGTCATCAATGTGAATGATGGCCAGTGTAACTTCTGCAGAGAGTCGTTGATACCGATGGAGCTCTGATAGGAGGAAATGGAGATGGGCCATCGTATGATGGCGAGCAGCGCGAAGCATCTGGCAAAACAGTGAATTGCAAAGAGTGTTTGCAAAATGGTGAGGTCAAAAAGGTGGGTGCAGGTAAAATAAAGAGAGCCAAATGCTCGAGACCCAAGTGGTCAGTAGGTCCCAATGGACATGTGGTGGGAGTGGGGGGAAAAACCAAATGTTTTACCTCACCCACCCACCGCTGAGCCATGCGTTGCAGTGGCCATCATTCAAATTTTGAAATGGTCACCATCAGGTGAAGTAAATTATATTTACACAACACATACACACACACACCGTGTCAACACCAATACGTGCACAAATACTAACACGTGCGGACATGCCAGGGCAAATATATGACAAACACACGCACACACACACACACCAGGAATACATGCACAAATACTAACATGTGCGGACATGCCAGGGCGAATATATAACCAAACACACACACACACTGAGAAATGCATCAAGATACCAACAGAAGGTTTGGTCTCAGCGTCGCCTCTCTTTTTTTTAATACCCCCAAAAATATTTCGCGACAGTGGTTGTTAGACCAGCGTTTCACTTCCCTTCACTTTTTTTTTTGGTTGAGGTTCACCTCACCAAATGTGAGGTTCACACCTTAGTGTTAAAAAGGGTGCCAGTGCTGGAGCACAGTTAACCTCCGCTGAACAGCGCTCAAGCACTATGCCCATCACAGGACAGAAGTTAAAACCTACCCAACCGGATCAAGGCCCGCGTGAGCCCCAGCCACACAAGGAAAAACATGATATTAGGAAGGTGTAACTAATTAACCAATGAACTGGCTATCTGGGGTTTCACCGCATCCGGGTTCATGTAGTTAATGTTTTGTTTTGAGGTTTTGGGCTTGGTGTATTTTGTTGGTCGTTTAATTTTCAAACCCTTGGATATTACCTTCCTACTTTTGGGCACTACTGTGTCCACATACGCATATAATATTTCTTTATATTTACATATATATATATATATCAATAGTAAATATAAATATTTTTGCCAACGTACAGACACACTTGTATATGTATATTTTATGAAAATATACATCTTCTTTTTCCAGATTAAACATCATCTATTCTCAGTAGTTCCCCCCTTGCTCACCTTGCTCAGAAGCGGTCATAGATTGAGGCACATGACTCACCGCCGAGGAAAAATTAAGGGGTATTTCGGGTTTATCAATGTTACCTAAGATGAAGGGTTATGACAAAGCTCCAGATCATTTTCAGCCGGTGGTTAGCAGCCATACGTCGCTAACCATGGTAAGCCCAGCCTTCAAGAATGATATTTTATTACATGAGGGTCTTGTTTCAATACACCACTGTCAAATTTATTCATTCTTCAGTCCTTTCACGGGGGATCTTAGTCCCCCTCCGCCTGGGCACCCTTTGTTGCTTCACCGGCGGACGGGGTTTATTGGTGACCCAGGCGGGGGCCCTTCCCGAAGCCTCTGCAACAAGGGTGGAGCTCCTCGGTTGGCTCTTCCCTTTGTAAGCAAGTAGTTTTTCAGAGCAACTATCTCGAATCTTCCTTGTCCTTTTCTGACTCCGTTTGATGGTGGAATTAACGCTACCCAAGGGTGAATCTAAGCCAGCCGGGTTCACCATGCCTCCTGACCCGCATCAGCCCGGCCCTGACAAACTTAAGGGCTTATTCATCTATTTCATAAGGCTCATGTGAAAGGGGGTGGTGCTTTGACAAACCCACATGATTGCAAACGATCCAAGCGAATGGAAATCACAAAACAAACTCGCTCAAAACTATTTATATAAAATGCTTGCAGAATACAACCCCGGGTTCCGTGGATGAACCTCGCGCAAATTTCTCCCGGTCGCTCCTGGGGAAGGGCGCGGGTTGGCGATGGGATCTCCAGCACTTCAACCCGTGGCAATTTAGTATACATGCGTTTCATTCGCTAACGCGCGCCAAAAAAACGAGCGGCAGCGTGAGATATTTGACGCAAAGAACACCGACCTATCCCTTTGTGGAGGGCGACATGCTGTTTAAACAAGCCAGTGAATAAATACCACCTTTCTTTACGAAGGCCTATCAAAATTGTATTTCTGGCTCGGTATCTTAGCAGGCATTTGTGCGTGGTATTTGTGCGTGGTATTCTTTTGCTACATCGACTTGCAAGCTGTCTTTTTCATTCATGCCCCGGCCACAACGCGCTAGGCAAGCAAACTAGGCTCGCCGCGCAGCTGCATTAGGCCACATCGCAAACAATCCTCCCACGGCTGCAACCCCAGCTGCTCCAGGGTAATCTTGTGCCTGATGCCAGGAGGAGCAACCGAGCAAGGCGGAAGCAAAAGAGATACGGAAGACGAAAGCAAGCCGACGGACAGCAAGCCAGCAAGTTTCAAGAGCAAGAGACAAGGTAGAAAACACCAGGTGCAAGAGCAAGGAGGCAAGAGAGCAGCAAGACGAGAGTATGCTAGTTTGAGCGTGCCGAGGGGGCCATTTCGGAATATCACTGTGACATCTGGCTGTCTTCGTTGGCACAGGAATCAGAGTCACACCTGTGCCCCCTGCCTACATAGAAGTCTCACATCTGTTCAGATGTTTCACATACACACACACATACAGACCCACACACACCACCCAATTGATTGCTGGTTAAAACAATGTCCTTATATGATGTATGCTGCATTCTTTTTGGCAATTCGTCTCAGAAACTTTGCCAACTATTATTGTGACAATGTCTGACTGCTTGGTGCGATGCAAAACCATTCACTGGTGTTTCAGTAGGCCTTCAGCCACAACACTCGTGGCTTTCTATCCAGACCCTCAATACTTTCCTGTTTCCTCTACTCTGGCCTACAGTACAGCAATCCACCATCCCTCATTTTGTAGACGAGATCCTTCTGTCACTCAAACCTACCTATATAAATCACTGGTGCTTCTTGTCCTTTTTTGGATACCATCTAAAAATCAACCGTTGCAATTGAAAATCTTACCACAATAGATTATTTTCACCATGGGACCCCCAGTTCAGTTGAGTCATAGATGATTTTCCATTGCCACACTTAATTACCAGAGGGTGCAGTTGATGAAAATCATCTATGGAATTAAGTGTGGCAATGGAAAATTACCAAAGGGATGAAATTACACTTAAATTTCCATTACCAGAAGGTGAATTTCATCCCTTTCTTCGATGAAAACGTCGACATTCCATGGATCCCCAGCATCCACCCCGGACGGGCCGCCTGTGGGCCGCGCCACTGCTGATGTGCAGCACCCGGCCCTGCGAACGCGTCAGCAATGGGAGTAACTCCTGCAGTCGCTGGGCGGTTGTAGGGTGTGGGGGAAGGTGGCAGTAGAGTGGGCTTGACGCCTTCTATGGCCCGCTGATACCGGGGTTTGGTGATTGAAACAACGGAGCTTTTACTCAAAAGGCAGGGTGGCAACGATCAACTGCCAGGAGAAGCCAGGGGACCAACACATGTCCTGAAGTCAGCGCTCCCTCTACTCTCAACTCTACGGGGATCGGACCTTCCCCCCCAAAAAACGGTTCCTTGGTCAGGAAAAGTGGACCTTCCACGTTGATCGCCATGGTCTTGCTGAAGTCTTCCAAAGAAATGTTCTCTGGAGAGCACACCTGGCCATTTGGATGGGGGTGGATCCACCTACGAACCATGCATGGGGGTCTCCGAAACAATGGATATAAAAGTTGCAAGATGAAGTTGGAACATTACCCTACAGTAAATTAACATAGACCCTGGCAGATATATGGGTTGGAAGATTAGTTTCCACTAAAAAAGTGTGATTTTCAGGGTCTATGTTAATTTACCAGAGGGTATGATTCATGATGACTTTCTTGGGGGTAGCTGAATTTTAATTTTAGGAAAACCCAGTCGAATGTCCGGTGGGGATGGAAACAACAACCATGTATTTTTAGTAAGGGTTTAATCACTCAGGTCTGTCAAGATGGGTTTGTCTGAAAATAGGGTATATTCCCAATTATAGCCATTTAATAGGGATAATGATCAGCAAAACCATTGGGTTTAGGGGTACACTATTTTCAGACACACCCAGATGAAACAAAACACATCAACATGACAAATGGTACCTTTTCCATCCTTTCCCGATCAATGGTTTCAGCTCTTTCAAGCAAGTCCACTGATCATGTTTGGCTCCGGATCGTACTTGGCCACATTTGTATATGTGCTGTTAGCGGTTGACTAGTATACATCTACTAAAAAGAAAACACAAGGTAGTTCTAGATTCCCCCCCTCCCCAAAAAAAAACATCACACACCACACACACACACAACTACTTTTAGTCCTGATGTCTGTCCTCAAATATTCAAATGAAACAAACCAAAGAAACGGAGGTTTCCTGAAACAGGGCTACCTCTAAATCATCTATTTATAGATGGTATTTTCCAATGTAAACCAGGCGTTTTTTGGGGTACCCCCCGTTCATGGGGTTTCCCCCAATCTGATTGAGTTCGCCTCCCCAGTTACCGCGGCACTGTGTACCACACAGGACAACGGGGCATCTCCTATGTCACCAACCAATGGAGGGAATGGTCTGCCCTATTTCTTCAAACAAAGCCACATGCCGAATGCTTGAAAAAAATGCTAACTCCCACAAGATAATTCTCATATAACCGTTATAACATCGTGTAGTTGTGTGTTATATCATATTATATCGATTTACTACGTACCCGCGTCTTAACATGCTACTGGTATATTAACATTATCTACCTAGGGGTAACTGTTGGGAAATATTTAAATACATAATAATATACAGTTCATATATATATATGTCAAATATTGCCTACATGGAACATAAGGGATAGGTTGCACAATGCTACTGTAACTCGACATGTTTATGGTTTCAAGTTGCCACAATGGTTGAAAATGGAGCAAAATTCGGTGTTCCGGATATCTATGCACCTCTGCTTCTGATGTCAAAACAAATAAAATATGAATTTCATTGGGACCAATCTTGAATAGCCTTAATGGGAAAACCGCAGCAGAAATGAAACTGGAAGATGATCCATCTGCACTGGAGGAATTCACGGTTTTTGAAGCGATATGTGTGTCAGCCGAAACTGGATGAGTTGGTACCAATCGCCAAATGGTGACTCCTTTTTGAGATCTCCAGCTCAGAAAACCATGGTCCTGCCCAAAAGTTCCATGCATCAGTTCTCACAGCTTTGACACTTGAATTACCCTCTGGTAAACTAACATAACCATGGAAAATCCACCCATTTTTAATGGGTAAATCCACTATTTCTACTGGGCCATTTTCAATGGCAAACTGTTAGTCATTGCCAGAGGATAAAAGTTGCTTCCCCGAAAAACTGGATGAACTTTTCCTTCGGAAGGTTGAACCTGCAGACAAGTCAGAGTACCTTTTGAACATTCGCAGCCACCCAGTTGTCTATCTGGTTGGTGGTTTGAACCCCTCTGAAAAATATTGAAAGTCAATGGGAAGGATTATCCCATTAATTGTGGAAAATAAAATTCATGTTCCAAACCACCAACCAGATATATTGTTATTAACCATTATTAACCATTATTAACCATAGATTAACCATAGATTAACATAGATTAACCATAGATTAACCATTATTTACCGTCTATGGCAACATGGCAGCACAAAGTTGCATCGCGGATGACACCGTACCGGTATCGCAGGGCAGGCCATGAATAACCGACGACAATCATTGTGCAATCCCCAGAGGCACATTTCAATCATCTTGACCGTCTTGACATAAATTGGCTGCTTAATCCCGCCAAAAAAACATTTAAGTATATAATATTTATCTCCATAAATTGATTGCTTGGCTTAGCTCACTCATACCGTCCAAAAAAAAAGACATCTTGGCTGGCTCCCCAAAAAAACAAAGACATATTCACATGATCAGCATAAAATATTCAATCAGCATGTCACCATTAAGTCTCCATTGAATCACCATTAAATCAATCATTATTGAATCCATTTCGAATTCAAGTAAAAAAACAGAAATCCCCTGGAAATATCTGAGAAATCCCAACTTATCCCAACTTCATCAGAAGCTTCACCTTTTTTTCATCCCCGAAATCACCCGAAACTCCCGCAACGAACTCCGTCCTTGGCACAGCTCAGCCACCTTCTGGGCCACCGACTGCCGCCCGTCAGCGGTCGCCACATCTGCGGCAACGGCCTCCCACGACCAGCCGGCGACATGGGGGAAGCCATCGGCCAGGTATAGTGGGATTTGAATGGTTAATATATGGTTAATATATGGTTAATATATGGTTAATATATGGTTAATATATGGTTAATATATGGTTAATATATGGTTAATATATGGTTAATATATGGTTAAGAACAACCTGATTGGTGGTTTTAACCATCTTGAAAAATATGAAAATCAATGGGAAGGACTATCCCTCTGGTAATTTGTTACATAGCTATTGAAAATGGCAATTTTTAATCAGAAAATCAACTATTTCGACTGGGCCATTTTCAATAGCTATGTCAGCTATGTAACAAATTCCCAGAGAGTAATGGGATTTGACTGGTTTGACTGACTTAAATATGGCTTCGCATGGCTTCGCCATCGTTTTTTCATCCTCTGATTGGGAAATGACTCATTTGGATTGGAAGACATCCCGTCTCGTGAAAGATGAGTTGGTTGAACACGGTCTCCCAATCCGATTATCATAATCACCAATCATTCACACAGTATAAATTAGTATAACATGTTAAAAAAAAATAAAACAGCCAACCAAGGTATTTTAAATGGCTCAATTGGAGTTTAATGGGGCTTAATTGAAAAATCATCTTTAAATGGTGATTTAACAGTATATTCATGGTGATATTCATGGGTTTATACCTAAACAACTATGATTGATCCCTTCCCCCTATAAAAAACATCCTCTCAGAGTCACCATGGTAAAAAATATCACAATTTTTCTTGGGTAAATCTTCATCGTTATATTCCCATTATATCAGAGATTCTGGGTCCCTGGTTAAAAACAGAAAATGTTTGGCTCATCATCCCAAACCCGTCCATACCAAAATCTTCCGAATAGGATTCTGGGACAGTGGATATATTTCCACTGGAAATGACGTGAAGTAAGCCCATTTTGGGATGTCTCCCAATAAACTATCGTCTGTGACATTTGATCTGTCCAGTACCTTCCCGACATCATCCTTTCATTATCCATCCCAACACCATCTCCCAAATGGGAAAATCGACCGCTCATCCCAAAATCAGCCAAGTACAGTCAACAGCTTCTCATCATCAGATCATCCCTTAAACGTAGAATCCTACATCAAAACGATGTTAATCCTACATCAAGAGCCAACAAGTCCGTATAAACATAATCTGGTTGGTGGTATACCTACCCCTCTGAAAAATGGAGTTCGTCAGTTGGGATCATGAAATTCCCAATATTTATATGGAAAAACAAACAAGTTCCAAACCACAAACCAGATATATTGTTATTCCAATTATTAACCATTATTAACCATAGATTAACCATTATCTACCATAGTAAAACCATTGTTTCATCAAATGATAGGATAGTCCGGATGGTCCCCAAAGCATCGACAATGAAAACAAAAAATGCCAAGACGCTAGTTCTGTGTTTGTTCAGTGATCATCATGGAAACATCAACAACTGATGGCAATTTCTTCACAAAAACACATCTTTCAAATTTTGATAACTCCGATGACCCAAAAGCACATGATTGATGTCAATGTTGGTAAAACAATGATGAACCATTCCCCAGTCAACACCATAAATAGGTGGTATCGCTACCATTCCCAAATGTTTATTGTTTTACCCACAATATAGATGCTCTTAAAAACATCTTGGCAATTTCTTTGCGCCTCGATCTTCGCCTTGGACATGTCGCACGTCTCCCGCAACGCCTGGTACCGAGGGAGCCAAACTAACATATCTATGGAAAATGGCCCGTTTGTAGATGGTTTACCGAACTTAAAATTGGGTGGATTTTCTATAGCTATGTTTGGGGAATCATGGAGAATCACATCTTATTGGATAAGATGACTCGATGATTTCCAAAGAAATAGAAGGGATAAAAAGAGAGCTAACAGTGTTGAGGAAAATGATGATTAGGATTTCTGAATTGTAATGATGATAAGATTTCTTTCGATGATTATGAGAGCTAACAGTGGTTCCTCTTTTTTAGATCTCATCGCGATTTCACGCGATGCCCTCATTGCTACAGCTGTACCCCGAATTTCAGGGATATCCCAAGGTCGCGTTGGATCACTCTGGAACACTGCGTTTGATCGCGTTCCAAAGCGAGGACGCAACCTCCCAAGGGTAAACGTCCAAAGTCAAAATGGGTCCTTTAGTCCATTTTGGGTAAAAATTTAATGTCAATGATTAAACATGATGATTCGAAATTAATTAAATCATATAAAATCATAAACATAGATCAATTCCCCACCATGTCTAGAAGTTTGGGGGATTTATCTGAGACAAATGATTGTGGGTCAAAATTCAAGATCCAAAGCAGCGCTTACCGGAACGCACTGATGCCACCAATCCATTGACTGCGTCCCATACTTGGGTATGTCAAGGGGAACAGGATTCAATAGGAAAAAATATGATAAACCATCAATGTTTGGGTAGTCTATATTCAAACTCAAGAGATGATTGGATCTTGTTGCTTGTCCCCATTCTGTCAGAAAAAAGTCCCCGTTGTATATGTCCTCATGATGTCCCTATTTCCGTTTCTTCTATCCCAATATGTGGCTTCGAAATCAAAACTCATGATGATGACCATAAACCATATCATTGATTGTAGACCATAACATTGATGGAGAACTCATGATGATGACCATAACAATATTGGGAACCCCCGTGGTGAATAGATTTATGACTATTCCCCGGGAAACGAAGCACCATCCCGTCCCTAACTGGAATTACAGGATGGATTCCGAAACGCATCCCTTCCCCCCTTGTGAATGGTGTTGATAATAGCTAGTGAATAATTGTTTAATCGTAGTAGTCAAGATTAACAATCATGATCTATTGTAATAGTACTATTGCTACACTGACTATCATAGTGCCTAAGTATAGTTGGGTGATGGTAAATATAACGGGCTAATTGCCATTAAACATCATAGAAACTAACCATAGTGTGATAGTATTATAGTTACTTCTATAACGAATTATTATCACCACAATACTACTGTGGATCGAAGAAATCCTGCACCAGTTGGTAGATGGTTTATCATGTTATAATTCCATTTTTTGATATTGTTTGCGGTGTATCTCATAGATACACCAATAGTTTCCAACTGCCGGATTGCTTCCATCCACAGTATCAATATACCATTACCATAATCTACCAGATTATAGCATAATCATCTAATCATCCATAAGCAAGACTATAAATACTATGCATTTTGCAACACAAAGTAACCCTGACTATTATAGAGAAAACATGATACTATATATATACTATATATATAATTAATATTTATACTCTATGTATTTTTATATATCTATACTATACCAGACTATATCTATCTATCTATCTATAGATATATATTTGTACCGTTTCTATGGCGAGGATCTATCATGATTTATCCAAGAAAAATGGTGGTTTAGAATGGGTTTAATATGGTTTCATTATATATAATAAAACATATATAATAAGGATTTTCTATATGAGCCATGGTCAATACTCACTATATGGTTGATGGTCATCCCATCCATAATAAGGATCCAAAAATCATGGTTATTATAAATCCCGAGTGGAACCATTGGATGACTAGCCCCGTTTTTAATGGTTATTAACCATGAGTATTGACCACAGCTCATATATATATATATATATATCCCCTGAAGCTCTCCCTTGAACCGCACCTCTTCGCGTCTTCCGACGGCCAGCACTGTGAGCCCTTTGGAGGCCAGCAGCAAACTCAGGGCGCGGCCGATGCCGCTGCCAGCACCGGTCACCACTGAGACCTCTTGACGCAACTGAAGGAAGTCCAAAAAAAAAACCGCTATCATTCCATTAATAATTGGGGATTGTAATAAGATAGCATTCCATGTATTAATAATGGGATTTAAAAAAAGCAATGGGATTAATCAACCAGTTACAATAGCATTGGGGATTATAATAATTAATAACCGTTATAGTATCATAAAAATCATAGCATTATAGAGGTATTGGTTGACAATAGCATTATGGTTGGATCACCTCAATATGTAATCATTGTTGGGTAGTATAATCCCCCAACTAATCATCAACCAACAGGGGTTTTGAACACTGCTCACTTGGGTGTAACATGGTGTAACCATTCAAAAAAATCCAGATAGTCCCCCGGAGAGTTGTTAGTGATGAATTGTGAACACATCACCCGGATAGATAGCTATATATATATTATTATATCTATATATATCCCACTATATTCCACTTCATCCCATTGTGTTTGGCAGAATTTTACTCCACAAGAAAGAAAACACAATGATGCTTCCGCCTGTTAAGATTCTTCGATTGGGGGGTAGTTTGGGTATGATTCAGGTCAGTTAAGATTCAACCAAGAAACATGCGGATGTAACAAGCAAAAAACACACATAGAATTTAGCCAACACACAATTCTTTGAACCAAAAAAAAAGTGGTTTTAACCAGCATCAGCAACTCAACAACAAAGCTGGCATGTATCCTTGTAATTAGCGCTCGTGATTTAAGCTACAATAATTGGGATTTGGCAACCAAAATGAGGATGTAATCCAACAAAAATGATGATCTTGACGTATCTAGACAACAAACAGTAGAGAATAAACCAACAAAACTGAGACTATACTGTAAATTCATCCATAAACATAACTAACCTATAAAAAGGGTCGCGGTGATGGGGAACATGAGCAGTGCATTTTTTTTTCGGACATGTTGGATTCAACTTGGTTCATTTCAAACAAGAGTGAGGGCCTGACTCTAACAGACATGAGTTTGTTTCGTCGGCGAAGACATTTCCAGATTTGAGAGTTTCCAGTCTAGTAAGGCTCTATAAATCAAGGTTTTGACTTTTGTCTGAAAAAAATGTGAATTATGTGATGTGTGAATCAAAGTTCTGGAATCCAGATCGTCTTCCCAAACACACACACACACACTTTGTGGTTTGTTGATGTTTGTTGAAGATCCCCAACAACAAAATTACAAACTGTTAGGGGAATATGATATCCCATATATGCGAACCATGGTGCTGGAATATTCACCAACATTTGCCCGAACAAAATCACCCAAATGTAGGTAAATATACCATACATGGAGCTTATGGGTATGATATGATATGATACCCGGATATGTTTGCAAATCCGCCACAAAAAAGTGCCAATCTCAGTGCATGGCTCTCATCCATCCAGTCGGGTGCCAGCGCAACGATGGAAAATGAAGGAACCAATTCCAACCAACACAAACTGGTTGGTGGTTTTAACCATCTTGAAAAATATTATTAGTCAATGGGAAGGATTATCACATATATTGTGGAAAATAAAACATGTTCCAAACCACCAACCAGCAAATGTAGACATGAACTCAAATAGATCTATCGTACAAAACCTGGGATCGGAATCAACAGAATTAAACCTGCTTAAACCTGGTTAAACTGGGAGATCTTCAATTTTGAGCAGTAAAAAACCGGGCCTCAAAAGGCCAGCAGGCCGGATGAGTCATATCTCAGTGTGTTGGATCTGCATCCTCTTTCAGTTGGCTTCCCGAATAGCCAAGGACTTCATCTGGACGCCACACATCACTTGGGTATCTGCGAGCTGAGTATGGCTAGCGCCAACGTTGTATGAAATGTATGAAATTTTGTACGATTAGAGTAGCAGCTGGTGTATCAAATTTTGTCCGGAAATTTTTGTGTCCCTAATGGTCCCTACCGTCCCAAAAGTAAACGTCAATTTTGTCCTTTTAGAATCCTTTGGATCAATTGAGAAATTAGGTCCACATATGTCCACTGATAACAAATCTCAATCAAAGGGATGTCACTTCTTCAGAAAAAAATAGGACCTATACTTCCGGCCTTGCCATTCCCCATGTCCCATTCCAACCTAAGTTTTTCTCTTCCTGTTCCCTTTGGTGTGCCGAACATATGGTACAGAGTCCAGTGCACCGCAAGCACCGGCACAGCCTTGCCGCCGTACCTATATCCGAAAAAAATATGGTGCTTTCCTGAAAAAAATGTGCTGTCGAATTGCGCTTGTTCTAGGATGTTTACATCTTGAAAAAAATGAAGAAACAATGCAAAAAAACAAATGGAATTGGAAAATGCAAATGTGAAAGAGGCACATTTCAGGCTTAAATCTTCCTGATTTGATCCAAAAATACGTCCGAAAAAGGTACCCCCAGCGCTTTTTTGCGTCAGGCGGCTTTTCGCGCTGCCGCCATGCCAACACCCCGGCGGCCGACCCGGGGCGGCGGCGCACAGCGAAGCTGGGCGTGACACCAACGCAGCGGCGAAGTGATGCCGGCAGCCAGCATTGCGAGGTGTGTTTTTTGTGGAGATTTCAAGATTTTGATGGGGGAATATTTGTATAATTGTGAAAATTGGGGATTGTGAATTGATGTATGTTGATTTATAGCCATCAATGGGGGCTTTTTTTGCAGATTCTTTGAAAAGGGGGCTATAAATTTAAGTCACTGATGATCTGGCCTGATATCATTTTATGCCAGAGAAATCTCGTATACATATATATTATATTACATATATGATCATATATGTATGTCAGGAAATCACTCCCCCATCCATATATATATATATATACTATCCCTTTTTGCAATACGAGGATGTGTTCAACCTGATATTTGCCAAACATTCGTGGGGGGAAACCTCCACCGTGAGATACTCACCATGGAGGAGCTTCCGCCTCTCCTGGACATCAAACTGCCTGAAAGCTACCTATATCACCCAAAATTCAATGGATTGGTTTAAGGGAAAATCTACAGGAAACCATGGTTTTTACCATCAAATATAGGGGTTTCCTGTAAATTTTCCCATCATCCAATTCTATGAAAAATGTTGCTCAACGAACATGTGACGTTGACCGCCTTCTGAATCAAGTTTGAATCAAGTTCCATGAATGGAAACTTCTTGCCGGAAATTCTGATCTCATCTACTCGCCTGCAATCCTTCAAGCCACGTGGCTCCTGAATATGAATCATATGGTTGACACAGAATGAAAGTATATAGACACCACAGGACATGTGACATTGATTGAAAATATGGACGTATTACAGGATCAAACATCTATTATAAATTCATACTAAACTCATCCAAACTCCACGGTTGATCACAGTTTCCTCCATCGATTTTTGGACCAAATGAAACCGCCCATTCTTGCGGTACGCACTCATTTCAGCTAGTGCAGGTGTCTTTGAACCAGTGCCCTTCCCACCAATGTGGTATGAGTTTGATTTTTTAGCTGCAAGGGCACACCTGGATGATGAAAAAAATGCTACATCTAGCATGTTTTACAAGGCACAAAAGTCATGGTAAACAGTTTTTCCACATTTGACAGCTTCTGGACCTCTAGTCATGGATGGCAAAAATTTAGTTGCCATGTACGTCCACGCCCTCAAAATTGAACTTGCAAGGAACTGGGTTGAAAATGCCATGGTCTCTTGCCCATTTCAAAGGGTTTCCATCCAGTCATGGGGCTCCCAGTTTTCATCCAGTCGTCATGGATGACCATGACGACTAGTATTGAAACCTATTGTATCCTACGGTGACTTGGGGATCCCCCATTTTAAGAAACCTCCAGTTAAACAGTCGGATTTCATGGATTTCTAAAAATCTCCACATAATTTGGGGGACTTTCCAAACATCCCAGTCCAAAGCTCGACCAATCTTTTGAACGAAAAGCATCGATGGGTCTTCTGTCGTTTCTAAAAAGGGGGAAAAATGCTTCAAATTTGCGCATCAAAAAATTGGCTACTGTATGGCTCGAACTTATCAACCAAAATCAAAAAGGGTATGGGTCAGACTTGTCGACATGTAAGCTGAAACTGACGACTTGTTGACATGTCAAGATCTTTTTGAACTAATTGAGATCCAAACAAATAAGTAGAATTGCCATCCAAGTTGGGCCACCCCACACCTGACCCATACCCAGGGCCTAGGGCCGCACCCTTCCACCACCACTACCAAAAATGGGGCAGGTCAAGCTAAAACTCTCAGGATGGAAGGCCACCACGACGTGGGCCCATGACATTCTTGGGTTTGTCCTTAGGTCATGGGGAAAGGATTTCCTTGAAAAATGGGAGAAACTTGGGGAAAACCCTCAGTTTTTCGTGGACCAATTGCGGTTTTCCTTGTGGAAAATAAAGAGTTCAATGGCAAGTAAAAGGGTTTCTTCTTGCGAATGTTTGGGGGACATCTTTAGAATATTGCATGGTTCCATGAGAAGATTGAGGTTTGCCTGAAAAAGTAAGCGGTTTGCCAATCCACCAAATTCATCCTTTTCATTCAAAACAACCGCGTTTCTGATGCTTTTTTGGGGATCAGTAATCTTAACCTGTAGCTATTTTCCATCCTGTTATCCTCCTTCTTCCCAGCATTTTCCCAGCATGTTCCCAGCATTTTCCCAGCATTTTCCCAGCATTTCTTGAGACCTTCACCGTGTTCCACCGTGCACCGCCCGAGCGCCCGAGTGGCGGGAGGTCCCATTCCAAGGACGGAAACGCAACGCAAGTCCTCGAAGCATTGCTCCATACCTCGGAAGGAATGGTGGTTTCTGGGCGGAGGGCTAAATGAAGCGTACAACGATCTATTGATCTATCCATCTATTTATCTATCTATCTATCTATCCATCCTATCCAAAGATTATATATATATGGTACCCCCCCGGTACCTACCTTTTAATTACTTTTATTGGTATTCACGTGGTTTGGTGACTGATTTACATGCTTGGAGTTTGGTATGTTGAAATTTGGATCACTGAAATGGGTACAGGACATCATTAGTTTATCACAGAAATTTAGTCACTTAGTCAGTAGTGAAATGGCTTAGCTAATGCATTGTGAATCCTCACAAAAAAATGGTGGAATAATTTGTTTCTTAGTAAGTTTGCTACTGAGGTCGCTAGTTAGTTGATTTGTTAGCGAACTGGGAATACAACTCACTGACTCCTTTATGGTCACCAAACTCAGTGCGTTTTTTTTGTGGTTCTATGCCCATGACTGTTGTTAGGAATCCGAAATCGAATGTTTGTTCGTGAAGTACCCATGTTCAAGACCCCCACTTTGGGGTTGATGGGCCTTTTCTCTCTCAGAATTCCAGTTGGAAAGGAGACAACTTCACATTGACAGAGGATATATTTCTATTGGAAATGGAGATGTCACATTGCCAGGCTTGCCTATCAAAAGATATTCTATCTACATCTTCAGAGAAGAATAAGGCATGAGCCACAAATCCTAACCATCATGAAATAAGTATTGGTACTACTAACTAAAAATGAGTCTAAAAATAATCTTGTGCTTATGATGGTACCTGTTTGCAACCTTGTCACTTTAAATTATGTAAATGCCCTAAACCATCACAACATTTATCAAAAGGGTTTACATGATGAATTCCAGCCAAATCCTCCCAGGGCCAATCTTGGAGAATTGCTCAAAACAACGTCATCATTCTTTCGCATGACAATACTTATTTTCATTCTGCCATCAAAACAAAAATCTATACTGGAGGTACCTGTAGGTTGTATATGGATATATACATATATATATATATCACGTTGCATATGTTTAAATCATGTACAATATCACATGGGCATATGTTTGAAGCATGTAAAGAAAAAAAACACATCCACCACTAAGTCCATTTGTTTACCATATCTTCACACATGTTTTTGTTCCCTCAGTCCCACTACAAGAAAAACCCTCCCGTTTTTCACACCGCCCTCGGCTCCCAAGGTACGCTTCACGGTGGATTCCTCAGCGGAACGGATGCAGGCGCGGGGGTCGTAGTACTTCTTGTTGGGCTTTTCCTCACCCTCCGGGTTTCCAATCTGCTTCCTGAGCTTGCGCTGAAAAAAAAGAAGCGCCAAGTGTGGTTGTTGGTTAAAGCCCATGAACTATTACATAACTTTTAAATAACTATTATATATAACTATTATATATATATAGAGAGAGATAACTATTATCTATGTATATAACTATTATATGTGTATATATATATATAATCTATATTCAGTGGTCACCACAGTATATAAATATAATTATATATATATGGCAATGTACACCATAAATCAAACCGTTAACCGTTCTCAACCAGCGCTACAGAATTGGAGCACCACCTTGTAGGGTGGATCGGGTTGGTAGTTGAGTAGATGGAGGATATACAAACATGAGATGAACGGATTCACATCATACATATCCTATCACTGGATTGTTGTTTAAGCTGTTCGTTTTCAACCTGAGGATTTGCACAGGCTCAATTTTGAGAAGACTTTCACCCGCTCCACCGGCCCATTTCGAAAGAAGCTAAGCATCTGCAAATAGTCATGGTACTTCTGCTCAAACTCGCGAATGCCGCTCCAATAAGACCTAAAAGCCAGGCCATCAAACGCCATTCGGCAGAGCCCAGCCCTTGGGATTTTCACCTTCCCTACCGAGCCCATGGCAGCCATGTTGCTGTCATGTTCTCAGAGCAATCACAACCTACAGAGTAATTACCCTCTGGTTATGACTAACATAGCCATGGTATAGATGGCCCATTTATAGATGGTTTACCTATTAATAGCATGGTGATCTTCCATGGCTATGTTAAATAACCAGATGGTAACTAAATAAATAAACATCACCTGAACACAAGCCATCAACCCCTGTCCCAGCATGTCCCAGCATGTCGAGGGCTTACCCTACGATCTCCAAAAAAACTCTCCTCTGAACTTCCGACACTAGGATGGTAGGCTCCAGGTCAAACAGGAAAATCATCTTCCACCCCCAAGCTGTTTGGGAGGTTCCATCGAAGTTTCCAGCGGCTCCAAGATGCAAGATGCAAGGCTATACAGATTCCGTTTTTACTGGGCTCCATCGAATTTGGAACTGAAGTGGAACCAAAACAACCAAGTTCCTGGGGGTTCCATTGGGTTTCATTCTATGTATATTAACATAAGGGTGTCTACACCCCATACCGATAGATGAGTTTCTCAGTCAAATGGTTTTCCGCCAGGCTGGAATTCAACCTTCTGTGGGTTACAAGAATATTCTATTCCACTATATTCCACTTATTGGAACATCCACCTAGCTAATTGGTGGTTTCAGCCTAGGTTTTTAGCCCCATACCAACGTGGAAACCACCAATTCCTGCAGGTTCAACCGTGGTTTTAGGCACAGGAATCTACCCCCAACAAAAATGATGAAAATGATCATCATGCTCATGTGCAAACTGCAATTTGAATCAATCTTATGAACATTATTAAAAACAACATCAGTCAGACCCCAATGCTGTGTTGTTGCTTATATACACCATAATGGCCCGTTCAAATCCATTCGAATACACAGTATTTATGAAGAATTCCTCTGCTGTAAAGGGTATGGGTCAAGTCATTGGGCACCCCAATAATTTCTCATCCTCAGAAAAGACTAAATCCCTTCTAAGACCTCTGGTCGAGGTCATTCATTTTGAGCCATAGCCATATGGATTGCTATGGCGAATGTGCAGTTGAATATGCAGCAATAAGGCGAACATAACATAACTGGTTGGTGGTTTCAACCAACCCCTCTGAAAAATATGACGAATCGTCAGTTGGAATGATGACATTCCCCCATTATTATGGAAAATAATATCGCCATGTTCCATTCCAGTCACCACCAAAAAGATATATTGTTATTCCAGTTATTAACCATAGATTAACCATCGATATACCATAGATTAGCCATAGATATACCATAGATTAACCACCAACCGTTCTGGGAAAAAGTCACCATGTTCCAGTCACCACCAACCAGAAACCATCCCTATACATCCCAGCTCTTGTCCCAGAAACCACTGGGTGTCAGTGTCAATGTTCATCTTCACCACTCCATAGTCCACTGCTTCACGGATGTCCTGCTGGGTACGCTCCGGGACTCCGGCTCGGCCCTGGGAAAAAAGTGGCCCTTAAGCCTCCAAAAAAGGATAGGACAGGACATGATAAGACGGGGTAATACGGTACGGTTGGTTTACTAGTTGTTCAAGATTTCTATTTTTTTGGAGGGTTACTATATAGATCTATATTAGTACCCATATGCTCCATGGTGCTGGAATATTTACCAACATGTGCCACAAAAATCACCCGGTCATGTAGGTTTTCATATACCAGCACCATGGTTCGCATATGGGGTATAGATCATCCATCCCACTTTGGGGTAGCACATCTACATATATCATCATATGGCAGTGTGTCAAAACCTTGTACCCCTGTAGTTCACATCAAAATAGCTGGTAAATGGATGTGAATAACCCCCTAAAAATGGTATGTATAGGTATTGATCCATAGCCATATCTACAGTATGTCAGTATTTTTGGGAATAGGAGCAGATATACCCCCAATGTTAGCATATATACCATACATGGATCCTATGCGTATATAATCATGTTTGAGATTTATAGCATTTTGGATGACAGCAAAGATGATGGAAAAACAACTGGGGTGCTCAAAAAGAACGTGTGATGACTTGACCCATCCCGTTGAAGTCGGTTGAGTCGCCGGGACATGTACGACCCAAAAAAAATCGGAACTCCGACAGAATGTATTTTTGGTCGGAAGGCCAATCAGAACCAAAGAATGACAAATTATCAGATGATATGAACTAATATAAATATATCATAATAACAACAATACCAGAATTGTTCTGATATATCATTGATATAAATTGTTGTTGTCAATCATCCAATATAATGGGAACTAATCATACTAATCAGATATTTGTTGTCATACTAATCATACTAATGACAAATTTCAATGTATCTCAACAAATATGGCTATGGGCCATGGGTATCCATGGGTCAGGTCCGCGGCCTCTCACACCAAAATGTCGCTTCGATTTATGCGCATCCCTGTGTCACAAGACTTGAGTTTCCAATATCTTGTACCTCTAAATCCCTTGCAGTTCATCATTTCCCGCATTAAAAATACGAGCCATGACTGGGTGGTATACCACATGTTTATACATTTTCCAGACTCCTATCCCAATCTCATATTAGAAGTTGGGTATATCTATATATAGATAGATATATATATATATCTATATATATATATATATCATATATTTTCCCATGGATAGCCATTCTTCGTCATCCCATCCCATCCCATCCCATCCCTCCGAGCTCCGGAAGGAGCGTCCTTGAGATCCGAGCCGCTGCCGCCGTGGAAGACGAAGCTCACGGGTTTGCTGCCCTCCGCCGCGCCGATCTTCTCGCTGATGTACTTCTGCGCCTGGCTGGCCAGGTGGCCAGGTCAGAGGTCAGCTGATGGCGAAAAGATCCAAAGGATCCATTTGGGTTGGCTGAAAGTTAGGGTTTTCGAATGGCTAGGTTGATGTTTATAGAACTAGAATGAGTAGATTGATAGGATACTTAGTTGTATAACTATAGGTTTTATAAGTACTAGAATATTGGATCAGGTGCTATAGTGTTGGGTTTGTGGTGATGAAATCACTATAGATGAGCAATGAATCAACAAACATGACTGGGGGGCACCACCTTGCTTGTGTTGGTTGAAATGGCGATGGGCATGAGGGGAAATGGGAATCAGCATCAACAACAGGAAGAAAGTTGGATTCGGGGACGGTGAGTTGCTTTTTTCAACAACACAAATGGTGGGAACGGGTAGGAAGAGAAAGCGGAAGAATCAGCAAAATGGTAGAAATGAGTGAAATATTGATCCTTGGACGGTAGGCAAATGGTCTTTGTTTGGCCTAGCAGCAACGGCGTTGTCCAAACTCAAAAACTTTGGCCGAAAACGGCCCCTGAAAACTAGCCATACTAATTAGCTGTGATCGACTAGCCCGTCCGACTAGACCAAGGTCCAGGCCAAAAAGGGCTTGTCTGATGACCAATTTTTCTTCAGCCATGTGCTGGGGCTTCAACCAAAAAACATCTTAAAAGAATGGTGCCCGTGTTTGAAATTCGTTGATGTTGGTTTCACCAACATCAACCAACATCAACTAACATTAACCAACATCAACCATCAACCAACATCGTCATACGGGGCCCAACATCAACATCAACCAACCAGTGACAGGGGCCTTATCCAAGATGGTCGGCTCCAATTTCACGTTGCCCGGTTGGTACACGCCATGCACGTTGCCGAAGGCTGCGGCCACGGTGAAGAAGCCGTTGGGGATTTTGCTCAGGGCGTCATAGACCTGGAAGATCTCCTGCCACGGAACCCGCAGCGCAGCGCAACATACGTTGGTAGACAGCTAGAATAGCTAGGCTCAGAACTAGGATAGCTAGAAGGAGTATATTGTTTTTATATGTTTTTATTAAGATGCGTAGTTCATCATGAGTAGTTGGCTAAATGTTTATACCTAACGTTTATGGTCTATGGTGATGAAACAACTATAGTTAGATGGGTAATGAGCCAACAAACATAACTAGGCCGCAGCACTTTGCAGTTGGAGCCTTGCTTCAGCAGTGTCAAAACAGCCAGGCGCATGGCGCTTCAATTGGACCTGCCTATCATATAAGAAACAAAAAAAACAGGGTGGTTTGTTTGAAAAATGATGGTTGATTGACGATCATAGGAGATACGACTTACCTGATGCATTCAAGAATTGCTATGGGGAAATTCATCCAAGTTTGGACAAAATTTTGTGGGTGTATCCCAGAGGCCCTAAGCGGCAATAAACTAATATACCCTCCAGTAAATTAACATAGACCTTGAAAATCACCTATTTTTAATGGAAACTAGTTTTCCAACCCCGACAACTGCCAGGGTCGAACTGTTAGTTTACCAGAGGGTAAATGGAATATCCCCCACTTGTTTTTTACATGAGAGCTTCATATTCACACGTGGCTTTGCTGGAAATGGCAAACACATGTTGCAAATAGGATTCCCCAAATGGTATCCTCTGGTAATTTAACATAGCTTTGGAGAATGGCTCATTCATACATGATTTACTGGAAAAAATGTGATTTTCCGTAGCCATGTTGCTTAACAGAGGGTAGATCAGGCTGGACTTGGTGCGTCATTTGCCGAAACAGAAGCCCTGAAAACAAGTTATGGAACCCTGGAATGCTGAAACAACACTGTTAAATCAATCCCTTGGCAAAACAACAACAACATTATCATCACCATTCATTATTACTATTTTATGGTATTGTATAACTATGGAGAAAATCCACCCATTGTTCATGGGAAAATCCACTATTTCTATGGCAATGTTCAATAGCTATGTAACAAATTACCAGAGGGTAATTCGTGAAATTGGCAGCAACAAATCCCCATAAAAAACAATTTCTGGAACTCCTCGGGTTTGGAGTACAAGTCTTCCGGGTTCGCGTCTTCGTTGTTGACGCCGTCCTCTTCACCACCTGAAACCCGACATCCGAAGCTTTGATGAAGAAATCCACTACAAATCCAGGGTTTCTAGATATGTTTAAGCACTTACCTTAATCCACTTATATAAAAGATCCTGAAAGAGTGCGACTATTCTTGGCTACCAGCCACATTTTTTTCCGTGAGATATGTGAGATGCACATCCAGGTATTCCAGGTACCCTCTGGAAAGCCCCACCTTTTGAAAAAAACATTGGAAAATCATCGAGGTAAAGTCCGGGGAAACAACATGAAACAACCAATCGAGGATCTCTTGAGGATCTTTTTGGCTTGCCTTTCTGCCATCCTTTTTCGTGGCCTTTCGCTAGAAACATGTTCCCCAAAGCGGCTGCGGAAAAAAAACAAATTCTCAGTTGTCACATGTTGATAAATCTTGGTTCATCTCTCATCCTCTGATTGGTTCAGTCTTCTTCTGGTTTCCAATTTCCCTATCTTTGTTGGTTTCTTCAAATGTATACCTTGCAATTTCACCAAAGTTATCCCCTGACATGCCATCCAGGACCTTCCAACGTAGCACTTTTTTTTGCCCCTATGGTCATTCGATACAGAAATCGACAACTCGATACACTTTTTCCAGTTCGTAGCGCAAATTTCTGATCCGAGCAATTTTCCTGAGTTCGATCTATTTTCTCTTGGCTACCCGATCTCGACTGAAAACAGGAATTGTTTGCTTTGATGCGACACTAGTTCGAGCGAAAATTTGCGCAAAAAAGCCGCAAATATCCGCAAAAAAGTGCGAAAACCCGCACATTCAAAAACTGTAACAAATCCAACTGACAATGGGGAAGGAATGAACCCCCTCCAGCATTTTTTCTGCAAAAGAGCAGATTTTTTGCAAACGCTCGAAAATCCACAGCACGAGCAAAATAAAATCGATACACAAATAAATGTATCATTGGAGGGTCTTGGATGAATCTTATTATCATCTGAAAAACATACGCAGTAAACACATGTAAACACTTGAATACTCATCATGGTGATCTTTAGGGACTTCAATCACGCAGAAAATCCTTCACCAGATAGATGAATTTTCGAGTACCCTCTGGTAATCTTGAGCTAGCTACAAGTATGGAAAATAATCCTTTTCAATAGCGAATCTTCGAGCTAAATGGGCCATCTTTTTCCGTAGCATGCTGTAGCTATGCTGAATTACCGCAGGGAGAAATCAGATGTAGCTTGCTTCCAGGCGACCCCAAATGCGCTTGGAGGGTAAGCTGGGACCCAGAAAGAAAACCAAGAAAACGGAGGATTTGATAAACCAGTATCTATAGTCTATGTTTGTTAAGTTGGTCATATATAAAAAAAATATAGTCTATCATATTCATAATACGTAATTACTGGATTCATATCATTGTATATGTATATCATTACATATAATTATATAATATATATACACATCATTCTGCGTTTATATTCCCGAATAATACTGTATATCTCCTTATATCCCCTGAGTTTATGAGGGATTTTCCATTTCATGTTCCGTCGCAATGGCAGTCCGACTGGGAAATTCTGGGCCAAATGGTCATGGAGATCAGTCTACCTGGAATGGGTCACCCAAACATATCAAAATCCTACAGGAATCCTACATGATATACAATCCATTCCCCCTAATGAGGGCTGAATAAGCATTCATGGAAATATTTGACGGACAATGTTATGAGATATGTTTGGGACATATAAATATGACTACACTATATGATCGACAACATGAAATGGTGTTTTTCGAAAATGCAGGGGCCCAACATCATCCAAATTTTGTCACTTTTACCATCACCCCATTTGGTCAAATCTACATTCTTTTCCCAATGAAAATGCAAATTTTGTGGTGGACCCCGTTTCCGCACAAACCATGCATGATCTGTTCATTTAATTGTTGACAGACAAGTTGTAGATCTCCTTTGGTCATGCATACGGCAACATTCCCAAGTTTTTTGATGATGTAAGAGGTTTTAGAACAAATTTCATCACATTCCATGTCATCATCCAAGTTCGGCACAACGTTCTCTCCCTAAAATACGATACCCTCTGGTAAACGTTTACAGTTTGCTATTGAAAATGGCCATAGAAATAGTGGATTTACCCATTCAAAATGGTGATGTTCCATAGTTACGTAAACGTTTACCAGGCCGGGTATCTCCATAAAATCCCACGTTTCAGCCATCAGACCTCAGCTGAAACGGCGGTCGTTTCACCGGTCTTCTGCACCGCGCCTGTGATTCCCAGTTCCATCTCAAGGCCGCAGTTGATCTTCGCCATTCGCTCCAGGTATTTCACGCAAATCTCCTGGGCCGGGAAGATGATCGAAGATGATCGAAGATGGGTATCTTCTAATGAAAAACTGGGTGAACTAAATATGGCAATATGGATAGTAGCAGCTTAACTCGGCTATGTGCTGTTTGGGCGTGAACATGAATCACAGCCAAGATTTGTTGCATTCCGCCCAGATAGATTCATGGGATATCTCCTAGTACGGTCAAAGATCTTTCCACCATATTTTGTGATAGTATGGTTCGGCACGCGGGACATGAGGGGAAGCACATTCCACGGATTGCAACTGGGTTCCATCAAATCGCCATGGCTTCTATTGAGATGTGCATTCCAAAAAGTAAGTCGCTTATAACAGCTATGTAACTGGGACGAACTATACAAGGATATTCGGATATTCGATTCATAACTGGGTTATAAAGTTATAATGTGGGTAACTCATCTGAGATAAACTTGACCCGTGAAGAACAAGCTGGTTGATAACAAATATGCCCGCGCTATCTGGTGAACTAGCAAACATTTTTTTGAACATCTCCATCAATGAGCGTACTGATCACTATCGAACATGGGACATATACCCTCTGGTAAACTAACATAGCTATGAAAAATCACCATCTTCAATGGGAAAATCCACTATTTCTATGACAATTGTCAATAGTAATGTAACAAATTACCAGAGACTGTACTGTCAAAAGAGTAATCCATCACCAAGTTGCTGTGCGCCACAAGAATCTCATCGTCAATCATCATGTTCCCTAGATCTAAACAGCCATGTTTTGGGGTATACCCCTTTTTTTTGCATACACCCAAATATATCCAAATATCATTTGGTTATATCCCATAATAGTTCCATATATATATATTCCCATCTTTGGTGGTTGAAAAACTTCCATGAGTGTTAAAAAGGTTGCTCCCAACCCCCAAGATACAAAGGGGTGTTAAAATGGTTCGATGAGGTGAAACGAATCCCGGCTGAGCCCAGTTGCGATGTTCTCTTCCAATGGTTCCTGTGGTCCGAGGTGCGCAAATTCGCCGGACACATTCATCAAATGTTCGAGATTCAGCAGATAATTCGTAGTGATATGTAGTGATGTTTATCATGGGTCATTAAATGTCACCATTGAACATCACCCAACCATTAGGTATATGGTCTATAATGGTTACTATAAGGTGATGTCCAATATACCCAAAATGGGACATTTACCAATCCCTGTTTATTGTTTGGACAACCTGTAGTGAATGGAATTGGACAGCATAATCCCGTATAATCCCCATATGTTGCATCGCAGTGTTAAATTTGATGATCCACTTCTTTCTTGGTCCCGCCTCGTTGAGGTCATAACTGGCTTTTTTCTAAGCCAAACTGACTCGACTTCCGGCAGTTGTAGCCCCATCGGATGGTCAAATTCGTAAAAAAACATGGGGAAATTACACCATAGAATGGGGGTCTGGTTGGTGGTTTCAACCTACCCCTCTGAAAAATGATGAACTTCGTCAGTTGGAACGATTATTCCCAACTGAATGGAAAGTCATAAAAAAATGTTCCAGACCACCAACCCGGGGTGTTTAATATGAGGGCTGCGTTTTTTTGGGGATCAGAGTCGCCATCTGCCATCCGTTTCTCCCAACTTTCCTCTGACAGGTCCAGCATGTGGGAGGAAAACAGTGGTTCTCCTGGCAAGTCGGCGCAAGATCTGCTGGTTAAAATCTGTTGAAAACACGGGTGATTTTCTCATCCAAAACCATGGATTGCTGGATTATAGTTACAGGGGAAATGTCAATCAATCCAATCATAATCCAAAATAATCCCATATATAAATCCACTATAATTGGGTGTTCGACATTGCGCAAATGGGTTTGTTTGAAATTTAGGGGGCACCACCTAAATACACTTTTTCTCTATATGATAAAAGTTGGTCAAATCCTCGTCGGTTGGCTACAACTTTTTGGATCATCGCTCTTTGTTGATAACCCATTAAATTCCAATATCCCAATTACAATTCTTGCGTCCAATTCCCATTTGTTGATGTGCAAATTCACCTTATACATGAGTCAATTCACAATCTTTACTGGTCAATTCCACAATTTTTGCTGGTTCATCCTGGATTTTTTGCGCGAAACAATCCTCCATTTGTGGTGAATCTTCCATTTCTCTGGAATCCTCCACTTTCTCAGAGTTCCATCTCTAAATGGATGATGACTGTGGGTTTTCCCCTATAACTTAGGGGGTCGCAAAAATATCTTCTTTCCCACCAATGATCTTCATTTTCTTTAGAGTTTTCCTATAGAGTTTCCCATGGGTTTTCCCAAGATTTCCCACATTTTCCCATGGTTTTCCCAAGGTTTTCCCAACATTTCCCATGGTTTTCCCAAGATTTCCCACATTTTTCCAGGCTTTTTGCCCCACTGAAAAAACCTCCCTACAGCTCCGTCACCCGGTGGCTCCATGCAGCTCGAAGTAGCGTTCATCCGCCTCCAGGAGGCCATCAAACCTTGCCATGACTTGGGGATGGTTTATACCATCTGGTTATGACTAACATGGCCATGGAAAGATCCACACATAAATGGAGGTTTCTAGCTGGGAAAATCATCTATAATACCATCTGGTTATGACTAACAGGTCGCCATGGAAAGATCCACCATGCTATTAAGAACGGTAAACTAATCAATCAGTTTGATCTACGAAACGATCTACGAAATGATAATCAATGAAAATGCCATCCGAATCTCCTGGTTGGTATCATAAAAATGCCCATAAATGAGTAAAGCTGACCAGATGCTGATGGGGATAAAAAACAATGGATTGGTGAAATCACGGGAAAATCTTAACCGGAAACCAGAGTTATTTTCCCATGAAATATGGGGCTTTCCTGTAAATTAAACCAATCCATTGATTATACCACCCATGAACATGCAGATGGGGATGGTGTACTATTGGCTTTACAACATTCAACATTCGTGACGGGTTTCCACCCAAAAAAAGTGGTAATGATTCACCTACAATGGGTTGGAACAATTTGATAAAATCATATTATAATTCAACTTTAAATTAATATAACTTGGGGGCTCCAATTGGAGCCAATTTTGCAGGCACACCCAAATATCATATTCAGTTGGTAATAGATCCCATGAATGATTTCCTAGAATTAATTGTATTCCCCCGATTCTTGGCTTAGTCCACATTTCAGATATGGTATATCCCAGTATGCTGGATTCTGGAATATTTCAGCTCATCATAAATATATATATATATAGGTTGATTGGTTGTGATTAATCTATCACAAGGTTGGAAAAATCATTCAATTCGTAGCTCCTTAGCTCCCCATTCTATAGGGACACACAGCGGGAATATGGATACTCCGAATGCTCCGAACCCCTCCTACACACTGGATAGCAGGGATAGCAATACATTTGATTCACGATATATCAGGGGTTGGTAACTGTCCCATTTTGGGAATATTGGACATCACCGTAAAAAGTAGCCATTATAGACCATATACCTAATGGTTGGGTGATGTTTAATGGGGACATTTAATGACCCCATGTATATTATGTTTGTGGATTCCAACCTACGCCCTCTCTGCGGAATAGTATTGGATATAGTTGGTGGACTCTAAGTGGACTAGTTTCCCTCAATTTTTCTTACGACATAAAGCCCCTACTGACCCTACTTCCCCTACCCCATATGCTTCATGTATGGAATATTTACCAACATGTGCACTAAAAATCACCCAAATGTAGGTAAATATACCATACATGGGGCATATGGGTACTAAAAAAACTGGGATGTGAGGGATGTGATGTAAGCCACTTACGATTCCTGGGGTTTTTGCCACCCATTCACCAAGCATTCACCAAGTGACCACGGCAACAAGTTCTTGGCCTCAAAAAACATTCGTTTAGAACGGGATTCCCAGGTGTTGCGACAAGGATGATGAGGTCCAAGATACGAAGGGTGTTTTAGAACTTGTTTGATGTGGATTATGATATCTTATAAGATCTTATAAGTATTAATCAATCCACAAAAGATATAAGTATGAAATGGATTGTGACAATCCCCGACTAGTCCCCAACCAGGGGTTGCAAATGGTATCCAAAGCATTCGAAACAGAGGCGATGGTTTCGTAAATCACTACAACGGTGGGATTTTCAAAATCAACGTCAACAACTGAGGATATTGCAGGGGATCTCTGGAATTTCATTTGTCAATGATGAGATCTGAGAGCAATAATAGCTTAAAACAAGACGATGATAATAACCCATAGGATCCATGTATGGTATATATGCTAACATTTGGGGTATATCGATGGTAAATGTTACCACATAATACCATATATAGCAGCACCATGGATCCTATGGGTAATGGGGTTAGAATGTGAAAGCTACTATGGGATTTCCAGAATCATCAATAAACGAAGATCCAACCATGGATTTACCCTCTGGTTATTTAACATAGCCATGGAAAATCGCCCATTTATAGGTGGGTTGCCTATTAAACATGGTGATTTTCCATGGCTATGTTAAATTACCAGAGGGTAACATGTTTTCACCAGCCAAGGCTCGTGGTCCTTGACATGCTCAAAGTGGCAAGTTCCATGATAGAATCCACAAAAAGACCAGCTAAAGCTAGCTGGTTTGTAACCCGAATGCTTGTGTTGGCTTTCTGGTGATGATTCAAAGTATAAGACTGGCACCATATAATCCATTAAGGGTATTTTAATGGGATTGTATGGTATTTTAATTGGATTGTATGGGATTTTATGGTACTTTAATGGGATTTAATGGGGGGATATATGATGGTTACCCTCTGGTAAACGTTTACATAACTATGGAAAGATCCACCCATTTTCAATGGGAAAATCCACTATTTCTATGGCCATTTTCAATAGCTTGTGTCACAAATTACCAGAGGGTATAAGATTTGACATGTTGTGTTTGGAGGCACCATATAATCCCATGGCTTAAGGTATTCACATCTCCGATTCTACAACAACAACATATGATCCAATTACACAAGAATTAGGCATATACAATGGGGATATCATATGCTCAATGTTCTCTTGAGGATGTTATGAAACATATATGTGGTATATCCCATATCTTTCCACATCCCATTTCAAGATTGTTAGTAAAGACTGGAGTAAACATACAAAAAACTATTGAAAATGGCCATTCATAATGAGTTTTCCCATGAAAAATATTGAAAAATGGTGATTTTCCATAGTTTTTTGTTGAATTACCAGAGGGTAATGTCCCAGTCACACAGTGATCCGTGTGCAGAATCACCGGCACACCATACTGCTCCGCCACCGCACGGACGTGGTAGGCGCCGCTCACGGCGCCGGCGATGGCGGCGTGGAACTCGGTGTTGTCCAAGCCCTTCCTGCGCCGAAAAAAACGGTCAGATTCGCCGCGAAATTTCCAGGCGTTCACTGGGATTTTTTTAGATTTTAGTGGTTAATAATGATCAATGATAATGAGTGATAGTGATTAATAGTGGCTAATAGTGGCTAATAACCATGGATTTACCATCTGGTTATGACTAACATAGCCATGGAAAATCCACCAATTTTTAAGAACGGTAAACCATCTACTTCTATGGGCCATCTATACCATGGCTATGTTAGTCATAACCAGGGGGCAACATATTTTAACAACGCACTCACACATACTGTGACTTTTCCAAACGAACATTGCTGGTTGGTATTCAAGCTGAAAATGAACCATGGATTTAACCGTTAAAATTATGGGTTTTTTTCACCACAAACTGTTGTTTTTACCAAAACATGTGGATTTCAAGTATAGACATGTTTCAAACATGTATTTACATATAACCAGCAAATGTGTGGACCAAAGCAACAAACAAATGTGGATCAAAATCGTGAAACCATTGGGATTTGAACTGCGAAAAAAAAACTGGGAATCTAAACAGAAAAAATGTGAATATACCAATAATACATAGCACAACCAGCACAAATTAAGGTTCAAAAGTGATTTAAATACCAACATATCTTGTCAAGATTGTCAAGTGAATATCTCAATATCAGCAGGTTATGGCCAAGTAGGAAAGTTCGCTCAATTTGGATCATCCCAGTGTCAACAACCATCACTCGTTTTGGGGCCGGGTGAGATAGTCATCGGACCTGGTGAGACCATCCAACAACAGTGGAGTCCAAGGGGCCCTGCATAGAATTGCGATCCACCAGAAGAGAACCTCAGGAGAAATCAGCGAGAAACCGAAACGGAAATAGCTGGGGTCTGGTGAAAAAAAACCACGCTTTGGAAACATGGAGAAACATGGACTCCAGGCCGGCCAGCAAAACTTTGGTTTCTATAGCAACAAATAAAATCGAAGCGACTGGGATGAGGCTTCCAAGAGGGAACCGGACTGTGGAATTGTTGGATCTGGGTTTCTTGGATACCCGGCCTGGTAAACGTTTACAAAAAGCTATGGAAAATTGCCATAGAAATTGTGGATTTACCCATGATTTTAATGGGTGGATTTCCCAGTTCGTTATGTAAGTGCAAAACACAAAGACCGGGTTAGAACCCTGGGGAACCAACCCTCACTTGACTCACGTTTTCCACGGCTGCGAACAGATACATTACTCCAAATTCATCATGTTCACGAGGTCCACCACTCGAGCACTGTCCAGGTGTTTCGTACCCAGATCGGCACAGTTCACCTTTGTGCTTGTTTTCTCAAGCTTCAAGTCACCATCTTGCACATGTTGTTGCAGCCACAAGTAGCATCTGTCGATATGTTTGGCCTTACCATGGCCCCTTCTGCTCAGCATAGATTTTGCAGCACTCGCATCGAAAACCAGCACACCATCAAACTCACTGCCCAAGTCTTTCATTGTAGCAAGAGCTCCCAACAGTGTAGAACCAGCCTTGATGCCCCCATAGAACTCCGATTCTCCTGAGGAAAGTGCAATCACATGCTGCGTTGAACTGTAAAATTTCAGCAAATGTTGACCATGAAAAAGGCATCCACAGTTTGTCGACTTCCGTGTCTTCAAGCACCCAGCGTCATCGCTGTCTGTGAAAATTTTCAGCTGCAACTGTTCCTCCTGTTGAGGGTATCTCCAGATCAGACGTGGTCGTCCAAGAAGAAACCTTGCAAGCCGTTTCAAGCCGCTCCAGTCCCCCGCAGTAGGTTGTTGCATTGCTCTGGCCAACTCCTTTGCTGCATAGTTGATGTCTGGCCTGTCCAAGGCCAAATAATTGCATCTCATAGTCAGGCTTCGAAACCTCTTCTTGTCCAAATCATTCAGTGGTGTTGTATCCGGATCTGCTTTCGCCACTCCAGGTGTTCCCACTGACTTACCATCTCGAAGCCCAAGCTCATCGATGACGATTTGCACATGTCGTGGGTCTGCTTCAATTGTAGTTTCGGTCTCCCCATAGTGGATTAACCTGTTCAACAATGAAACATCTTGCACATCTGTACTGTCTGGTCCCAGCAACCCTCCAAATTTGATCTCATACCTCTCCAGCATCTTCTCTTTCAGCCAAAGTAGGTCGGCTTCAAAACCCAAAGCCGTCACATCATCTCCATGTATTGAAACCTTCAGGTCTCTGAAGGGATTGCAAAAGAGAACCGGACTCCCAAGTCCCGGTGCAAATCCACAGCAAGTGAAGAATTCTGTGATCTCCAACTCCCAGCATGCTGCTGCGTCACGGCAGCCATACATTGCTTTGTTCAGCCTGCCGCACATGCCATCGCCAACACCAGACTCTTCTGGCAACCAAACAAACACTGCCCGAAAAATTTTGGCACACCAGTGAGCCCTCCGCACATCAATGAACATGACCTTCTTTCGACGGCCCTTCTTGTCCACCTCTTTGCCAGTGCGTTGTAGGCTCAAAAGCATCCCCACCGATTCCAAAGGCGGTGTCGCTGCAAAGATTGCCTCGATGTTGGACTGTCTCACTTCTTGCACCACAAGCCTCGACCTGTAAGCAGGTCGCTCAACATCACCCTTGTTGATGTCGATCCATCGAGTGCCAATTGGCGCCTTTCCAGAAACTTCATATGCCTCCGAGACCGGCACCACTGTCCAAACGTTGTAGCGCTCAGCATACTCAATCTCCTCACGCCGGGCTGCCACCACCATAGACTTCTCCAAAGCCTTGCCTGAAACTTCATCTGTAAAAGTTTCCCAGTCTTCCACCAACCCAAGATCCAAGTCTTGCTCTTGGTTCACCGGCCCAAAATCCAAAGCACTCAAAGGAATCTTCTGCCTCAAATGTTTTCTCAAACCTCTCAAAATGCTTCTGATAAGGCCGTTGGGGTAGACCTCACATTGTTTCGCCTTGCCGCCCATCAGCGGTATGTGCCTATGCCACTTGCGACCAGCTCTCACAAAGTAGAAGATGGTCTCCACTGCTGTGCAACCTTCTGGTAACTTGAACTTCAACTCCTGTGGACTCGCATTGTGAACATCTTTGAGATCCTGCAGCAAAATGCCGCTCTCCAAGTCTAAAGTGACACGCCGTCTGACTGACGACCAAGCTGGCCCACCACGTTGAACTTTCTGACCCCTCTTCACATCGTATGCTGTCTGACGCCAAACTGCTAAAGCGTCAGGCTCATTGCTGCATTGTTTCGACAACTCCTCTGCAATGAACTCACTGTTGGTCAGATAGGTGGTGCTCTTCTTCGCCAAGCCAGGTCCATGATCATCCTCTAACTCCATGCCTTGCTCACACATGTCACCAGTCACTCGGAGAACTCCAGGCAAATTCTCCACCCGTCGAATGGCCTCTGATTTCCAGGATTTCGCCAATGCCGGGTGCTCATGCAAAAACAACTTCTGCCGGGCATGTCTTTTGGCATACTGCTCGGCACAAAATTCCAGGTGCTGTTCGGCTTCTGCAAGAGTCTCTGCCCGCTTTTGCGGGTCCATCTTGTTCTCGTTCAGCGCCTGTAGTTGCGAAAATGGACCACACGGCGGACTGCCGATCAAGAGGTCGGGATCCAACCACTCCACAAGCTCTGTTGCTCGCTGTCGGCAATCTTCCAAAGAAAAATTCCAAGGTCTGCCCTGTTCATCCATTGTAGTCAGGTCCATCGCCACACCATCTCCGACACGCATCCGTCTGGCGTAGTCGGTCACCCGAGGTGGTGAAAACAACTCCACAATTGCAGGCCTCCCGAAGTCGTAAGCATCACGCCTCGAGATAGCTCCAACCTGCAACAACAATCGCCTGCTGTCAATCTCCTCGTCCATCATCATATCAGCTGTCTCGCAGAGACTGGCTTCTCTCACTGCCTCCTTGAAGGATGTCTCACCTCCAACACTCCTCACATGCAAGCTCCCAATGTCCATTGAAGATGGTGCTGCACTGCCTGAAGGTTCCACACCTTCACCAGTGTGTGCCCCAGCGTCATCAGCCTCAATCTCATCCTCCATGTCCGAGTCCGGAACCGGGACAACAACTCCACTTGGCTGACTGTCGCTAGGGCCCCCTTGACCACCATCATCGTCGGCAACAGGAACTGCCACGTCGCCAAGGATGTCTTCCAAATCTGGTGCAACCTTGACGGCCTTGGAAGACTTGTCATCACCCGCATCCAAGGTCCTCTTTTTCTCCTCTGCTTGCTGATAGGCAACGATGAACTTCTCCTCTCTCTCCTTGATGCGGTCCAACCTCTGTTGGCCCTCTTGCGTCTTGGCCATCTGCTCACTGATGCGCTTCTTGCAGGCTCTCGAGCGTTGCCGATGCGAAAGCCCATGTTTTGCAGCATCGCACCCATCACATCCATCAGTGTAGCCATACTGTTTCAACTCTACATCTCTTCTGATGTAGACTCCACGTGGAATGTAGCCCTTCTGCTTCTTTTCAACTTGCACTGCTGGTACTTCTGGTTGTCCAGGCAGCTCAATGTCCAACTCCAAGTCTGGCACGGGCTTCACGCCAGCCTCTCTCGCCACCGGCATTTTCAACTGCCATGGCAAGCCCACGAAGTTCTCGAAGATCTCCGCTTGCCACTTGTCTTCCTCCGCCAGAGTCTTTGTAGTCCATGTTCGAACCACACCATTGGGCGTTCCAACCCATCTCATGCCGGTGCCCTCCTGGATGCCCAAGTAAATGCCTTTCTCAAACTTGGCCTCCAGTTTTCCTCTCTCACGCTCACCCTTGAGGGGCTGATAGAGGATGCACTCACCAAACTCTGGCAGCTTGATCTTCCAAGCTTTCCCTGTGGACCGTTCGTACGGTGTCCGACCATCAGCTCCACGTTGGCCAGCTCATAGTTGAATTCCAAAGCGCTCTTCAAAGTGCGCGCTTGCGCTTGCAATCTGCCAACTGCAGATTCGATTGGCCCATTGGTCTGAGACTCGCCCTTGATGGCATCTTCAAAGCTCAAATTCGGCAGCTGTTGTTGAACTGCCGTCCGCAAAGCCACCAGGGACCTCTCCGTGTCGGTCTTCAGGACTGAGTGCTGATGACCCAAGATCTTGATCAACTTGGCCACCACTGCCGCATTGTATTGATGCCCCAGGCCTTTCATGGGAAGGCTCACTGAAAACACCCTCTGAGTTGCCTGATCCAGGATTGCCAGAAGTGGCAAAGCTTCATTCGGCTCCTCTTTGCGGCCCAAGTAGAAATAGTCCATGAAGATCCGTGGGCGAACATCTCTGGCCTTGTCCAAACCTCGAGCTCCACTTTTGTGTGCCAATGTCCGACCTTTGCCACGGACACAATGCTGGCACCACGATCGATATGGTACATGAGATACATTGTGTTGACGTATCTCCTCTGAATTCGGCTTCACTGGAGACTGCAATCCCAAACGAATGCCGTCCTCCTCATACTCTTCGTGCAGCTCATCTTGAGCATCCAATTCAAAGTCACCCTTCTCCTCAGGTTCTGGCCCTAGGGAAGGTTCATAGTCATCCTCATCTGAAGCACCTTCGGTTCGACCAGGAACTTCATCATGCTGCCGTCCGTCACCTGCTGCTTCATCCAAAGCAGCGAGTATTGGGCTGACGGGACTTACCAGCAAGGTGTTCTCCACTCAAAGCCGAGTGGGAACCATCCACGGTGCCGGCCCTTGAAAACCCACATTTCGAGGATGTACTGTTCGGAGATATTGGACGTACACCCCATCTTCCTGCCAGATTTTCATGTACTCTTCCGTCTCCATGTCGTAGATGTAGCTGTTCTCACCATTCGGAGTGAGCACAATCACATGCCCTCGATTGGTGATCTCGGCAGCTGACAGCAAGATCTTGTTCACCTGGGCCACTGAAAACTGTGTCTCCTTCAGATAGCCCTCTTCCGTCATGACCACGGGCCGCACCTTGTAGAGTTCCGGCACCAAATCTCCACTGGCCGAAACAAACTGCAAATTGGGATCTGGAGGATAATGATGTTCATCTGGGAAAGCACCAGGTGGACACACCGAAGCCGCCGCACCACTGTCAATGGTCACCACAAAGCTTCGACCACCAACTCGCAACTGTCTCATCCTCCAAGCCAACTGCCTGAAGTCACCCTGAGCCGCCCGCCGACCCATCTCATCCAGACGATCAGCGATGTATTGATCTCGGCGACTCAAAGCACAGAGCCTCTTGATCACAAGGCTCCCGGTCTGCACGGGAGGTGGTGGACTCGTCGGTGAATGCCCCTGTGATGTTGGTGAAATAGGTGTAGATGCCGGCAAAGGTGTCGATGGTTGAGCTGGTGATGTTCTGCGCTGATACTCCTCCATAGCCGCACGAGCATATTGAGACTGCAGCTCACCCTGTTGTATTGCATACGCAACCGCTGCACTGTATTGTTGTGACCCAGTTGCACCACTACCACCATACATCGGGTTCAAACCAGGTACAGCCCCGGCCCCAGGTACAGCCCCGGTCCCCGCCGGTGGTGGTGTCCCAATCGGGAAGCTTGGAATACTTTGTCCAGCCACTGGTGTCGATGGAGCCGGACCATTCACACCAGGCCCTCCGGTTGCAGTCACACCGGCAGGACCACCTGTCGCCACTCCACCATGACCTGAGACGCCTTGCTGCATGTGTTGCATCTGTGTTTGAATGCCCTGAACTGCAGCTCCAATCTGTTGAAACTGATCTGCAGAAACCGCTTGTTGCAGCTGTGTCTGAAGCCCAGTCATCGTCTGAGCCAACTGCGCGATCTGGTTCTGGGTGTCCAAATGCGATTGAGCCACTTGTTGCATCTGATCCTGGTTGGTCTGTTGTCCCTGAGCAAATCCAGCTTGAACCTGTTGTACCACCTGCTGCACAATCTGCTCAGTGGTCTGCTGCGTGGTCTGCACCGCAACACCAGTTCCTTGGACAGCTTGTCCAAGATCATCCAACCTTGTTCTCTGCTGTTGTTGTTCCGCCAGAATCTGTTGGAGAACTGTTCCAAGCTGCTGCAAATCCATCTGCTGTCCCCCATCACCACCTGCTGCCATCTCGGTGATGAAGACTGCACCAGCCAAAAATACAACAGCGCCCAATAATCGCAACGCCCACCACACTGCACGATTTCCGGTTAGCCAAAAAGGCCTTGGGCTTACACCCGCCAGAATGATGTCACCTGCAGCCCTTGTTCGACGTCTCAGATTGCTGGTTGCTGAGCGGTCCAGCTCCGCTACCATGCAAAACACAAAGACCGGGTTAGAACCCTGGGGAACCAACCCTCACTTGACTCACGTTTTCCACGGCTGCGAACAGATACATTGATCATAGCCAAAAGGACCGAGCTGGAGGTGCCAACAAGTTATGCAGTAAGCGTTTACCAGGCCGGGTAACCATCATATATCCCATTAAATCCCATTAAAATACCATAAAATCCCATTAAGTCCCACTAAAATACCGTAAAATCCCATTAAGTCCCATTAAAATACCACAAAATCCTGACTTAACATAGCCATGGTTCATCTCCTGCAGAAATGGAGGTGTTTCTCTTCGTCATGGGTACCCCCAATCAGCTCTTGGGGATCACGGCCATGAGATCGGCTCCATCACCCCGAGCATCCCCGAGCCATGGTGAACAACTACAATTTTTAGCAACAGATTGTCCCGGAAGTCCTAGTTACGAACGAGTTCAAAAGCAAAAAACAAAACTTGACCCAGTTTAGAACAACTGCTAGTTTACCACATCCCAGATTAGCTCACCATGGTGGTATATAAAAACCTACATCTTCCAGCACCATGGTTCGCATATGGGTATAGATTTCCCCTAGATTTCCCATAGATTTCCCCATTTCCCCAACCCCCCAGCAGCCCCAACCCCAACCAACCACCGAGTCGCTGGATCATCACCGGGGCATCCATCTTCCTGGCCGCCTCGATGCAGGCGTTGATGGAGGACGAGGACACGCAGTTCACCGCGGGAATGGCCTCGGTGGGTCAGCACCACGGACCGCACAACGAACGTGGCGCGTGTAGCGAAGGACATGGTGAATATTGGTTTATAACATGGAATGATAATCCCATTAATGGAATGATAATCCCATTATTTTCATACATGGAATGCTATCCTATTATAATCCCCAATTATTAATGGAATGATACAAAGTGGGGCCCCCTAGATAGCTAAGTTGGTTTATAAATCCAATAACTATGGTTTATGGTACCTATAACTATAGTTACTGGGGCGAATCTAAACCCACAAACATCACTGGGGGGACCACATTGTAACTATGGGATGGAAGAACAGCATGAAGCTGGGAGAAACTATATGAATTATATATGAAATCTATATCCCAGATTAGCGAACCATGGTGCTGGAATATGCACACCAACATTTGCCCAAAATCCCAAAATCACCTGGTTGCTGGTAGGTTTCTATATACCAGCAACATGATTCGCATATGGGATATGAATTATATAGATGTGAAAATATGCAGTATTATTTATAGCTTCATCTTTGAGCTGATGACACGGTAGATGAAACATCGCCAAACGTTAAGGATACACCTTGAACTATAGCAACCGGAGGATCTACATGTCTGGGCCACCGAGTTCGTCAACACAAGAATGACTCCGTTGATGACTTAAGAAATGTTAAGAACTAGGGGGTCAACAAATTAAACTATAGTAGATGCCGTAGATGCCGAAAAGGTTCAATTAACTACCTGGTTTTGGTGGTTTCAACCTACCCCTCTGAAAAATGATGGAGTTCGTCAGTTGGGATTATTATTGTTGATTATATATGGAAAAATAAAAAATCTTCCAAACCACCAACCAGCTACTAGTTTAGTAGGATTTGACAGTTCCATTGTCTTGTGGGTTACCATCTGCATTTCTATCTGGATACCCTCTGGGAATCAAATGCCATGGACGGTAGGGTGCTTCATAAATTGCTCAAGGGAGAAATACCATGTGTATATATATATATATAACAACTCAACAAAAAACAAATAGAATTTGGTGAACTTCGTATCCAAAGCAGTGATAAATCGAACCTGTTTTTTTTTCTTGGGGGGTGCTATGTATGCATATATATATATACATATATATATATATACATATATATATATATATATACATATATATATATAATGTATCTGTATCTGTATCTGTATCTGTATCTATTCTATGTCTCATCTAATATACAAGTGATCAGATGCATGGGTTTTGGTTTTTAGTTTTGACATGCGTTGTCTCAAATAGGTCTCTTACTCATCAACCCCTCTCTTGAAGAGTGCTGCTTTCAGGGGCGGTCTAAGTATCTGAGAGAACACAGCTCCGGAAACCAGTCCTGCTGGGCCAAGAGTAGATGATTTATGGTTTCACCCACATTCACCTTGGAAATGAACTGGTTAATCCTGGTTCGCAGACACTTTGATAGATGGACTCATCAACATGTGGGTGTGTCTGTAACCATGGGATGTATCATGATATATATATATATATATTATATTATATATATAATATCCCCATTTGTAGCCATTTCCTAGGGAAACTGATGGTAAACCCCATGGAAGTTTGGAGTATCCTATGTTACAATGTTCAGACAGGCCACGACACCTAGTTCCAACACCAACCTTCAGCGAAGCGGCATAGCCATTCTCCTTCGCATGGTTCAGCAGGTCCACCAAAGCCTGACCAGACACCTGTCCGATGTGGAGAAAAAGAAAAACGCACCGTGACGAGACGCACAAATTTTCGGGGACCCCCCTTGGGTGCACTGAAGAGTAATCCATATGCGAACCATGGTGCTGGAATATTTACCAACATTTGCCCGAACAAAATCACCCAAATGTAGGTAAATATACCAGCACCATGGAGCATAGGGGGTAAGAGAACAATACCCATATGCGAACCATGGTGCTGGTATATAAAAGCCTACATGACTGGGTGATTTTGGGCAAGGGCAAATGTTGGTGTACATATTCCAGCATCATGGTTCGCATATGGGATATAACATGGAGAATCCACCGTGAATCAAAAAGCCATAACACGAAACCCTTTGATTTCCATGGTAAACGTTTTCTGGGGGAAGTTTGATTCTTTTCTCTATCACTGGGATAAGTAAAGTAATCAAAAACTGCCGTCTTCTGTGTTGAAAAATCAGCATCATGCATCCATGTTTCTGTCATTTGCTCCAAGTCGAAGCGAGTTTCCTTTTTCAGATCGTAAACAAGTTGTTTGGATCGATTTACGGTTGAAAAAATTATCCAAAACATCATTGGTGAGTTCCCAAGATCCAAAGATTCAACATCGAAACAGTTTATGTTTTTCCAACTTCAGCTCATCTGGCAGTCAAAACCCTGGCACCCAACAAAAGGTATACCCTAAAATAGTTGGTTTTTATCAATCGTTTATTCCTCCAACTATGGTAATGTTATAGCTGGTTGGTGGTATACCTACCCCTCTGACAAATATGAGTTCGTCAGTTGGGATGATGACATTCCCAGTATATGGAAAGTCATAATCCAGTCATGTTCCAAAGCACCAAACAGTTTATTACGATTTGGGGTGTTATACCCTCTGGTAAACGTTTACATCACTATGCATGGAAAATCTGCCCTTTTTCCAGCTGGGTAAATCCACTATTTCTATGGATGGTGTTTTTACCCATCCTCATCTCACTTAAACCAACTTCCACGAATCTTCCACATCTTCCGACCTCGGACCGTCCGGGTCCCCCGGGTCCCCTGGGTGTTTCCTGGGTCCTCGGGCCACGCCCGGGTGGACGGACTCGGGCATCTTGGGGAACGTGCCCAGCGGCGGATCGCTGCGGGACAGCACGGGGAACCTCGAGGCGAGGGGCCCGGACCGCCCGGACCGCCGGGACCGAGGATCCAGGGCCGTGGAGACCTGGTTTTTGCCCAAAAAAGAAGGGGGTTCTTAAGATTTATAGGGATTTATCAGGATTTAATAGGAATATCATAGGAAAACATAGGCTTTAAATAATATATGGTATCTCCATAAAATCATATATTAATTACCATTAAACATCATTAAAAGTTAAATCCCAGACACCTCTTCTCACTCTGCGCCTTCCTCGCTGCCCGCGGCTTCATTGCTTTCCTGGCGCCGGCCGCCACGGCGACCACGCCCACAGCCGCACCAGGGACGCCGAAGGCGGCGCTGCCGGCGCTGCCGCGCAGCGAAGGGGCCACGGCGACCTCGTGATGGAAGAAACATGTGGAGGTTTCCTGAAATAGGGGTATCCTCTGGTAAACTAACATAACTATGGAAAGATCCACCCATTTTTAATGGGAAAACTCACTATAAATGGCAATTTTCAATAGCTATGTTAAATTACCAGAGGGTACCCCTCTATAGATGGATTTTGTAAATTGTAAACGATCCAGCTATTGGGGTACCCCCCATTTTAAGAAACCCCCCATGTGGATTTGTTGAGTTTCATAAGCAACTTGATAGAATTTGATCATTAAGGCTGATTATAAGGTCTAAGACATCATGGATCTGGTGTTTTGAATTTGATAGACTTTGAGATATAATTCGCTTAAAACTGCAAAACTGGGAACTGGGATTTGTTTAGATTTTGAAAGTGTTTGAACTACTTGCTGATAGTATATTATACAATAGTAGTATATAGTTGAAAGATACAGTAACTCAGGAAATTTTCCGGGTGGTTTCCTTTGCTAATCATCACGCATAATGCCTTGAATGATTGGGGGTACCCCCTTTGTAGGAAACCTCCATATGGATATAATATGATATATGGCATGAATCATTATTGAATCATTCTTAGTTATGGAACTGAATTCGAGGGATTGTGGCTGTGTTGACAACATTCATGCCCCCAGTAATGTCAAGCCTGGATTAATAAACCCCTACGCTGTTGAATTGGGAGGGTACCATTTAAGTATCAGATTATGACTATTGGAGGAGTCCCGTCCAATTAATAAACCGTGGTTTATTAATCCGGGGTTAATACTAGTTACTAGAAAGAAACAATCATGGCAGTACAACGGCTCCTCCACTGGGTCGGTCTTTTTTAAGATTCCACAGAGGTACCGGATGGGACATCCGGTTGAAATCATCCTTTTCCCATTGAAAAATACACACTTCCCCAATTTGATACGCGATTTATTTCAAATTGAAACATCTTGAAACATGTTGAAATCGATTCTTCCCCGAATGGAATTTCTATGAATTTCGAGTCTGATCATCATTTTTCGCAGATCCCCCCCATTTTATCCCATTTTCCCATCCCCAACCGCACCCAAGCGTTTCCGCCTGCGAACGTGGAGCCAGACTGGGCTGAGGAACCACCACAAATGGCACGCTTTGCATCGCCATGGCTGGGAACTCTCGACTCGACACTGTCGACACGCGCAAGCGCGTCCCGTCCGCTACGGTCAGAGCAAAAGAAAAAAAGGTCGGCAGTTGGTGACCAATTTGGTGACCCAGTTGGTGATTTCCGAGATGTGAATTTTCGTGTCTGGAAATCATCATTTTGAACATGTTGAATCAGTAAATGATCAAACATGTAATGATATGTCATGATTTCAACATGCAAATTGCGCAAAATTGTGCGAAGACCTCAAAATCTGAAGTTCAAAAATGCTGCGGCAGGTAATAAAACGTCTTTAAAGGCTCCCACTGCAGCTGCGTTCTGGAAGCTTCTCCAGGAACAAACACGAAGCGCATAGCATCAAATAGCATCAAATAGCATTGCCTAGCTGTGATCAGTCATCAACACCAGCTATTTGATGCTAGGCAATGCTATAAATTAATGGCACTTCACAGCTTTAATAGCATCAAATGTCATCATCTTCATGGCACTTCACCATTCACATTTTTCACATCGCAGATCAGTCAAAAAAAAACCAGCTACGAATCGGATTTCCGCCAGCGCTGAGCTGGAGAAGGAGGGAGCTGGAAGCCCCACTGCTCTACATTCTCAATCCATTAAGACGTCCCATTGAACATAGATTATAATTTATATATATATATATATATAATGGTTTGATGGTTTGATAGTTGTTATAATCTTTAGGGGTTATAATCTCACATAATAAATTCCTTAACCATCATCAAACGAGGCCCAGCACCACGACTTCTTTCCACATTTTTCCGCGGCGATCGATCGTCATCGATGGTCCCAAGTAGCTGCACAGAGGGGCCATTCTGGGCGAATCCAACCATCAAATTTCATGAAATTCTCATCACATTATCATGAAATATCTTCAAATATCTTCACTAATAACCTTTTCAATATCATCAAATAGTATCAAATTCTCGGCCAACAAGTTGACGATCTTTTTGTGGTGCTGATAGAATGGGGATCAAGCTTGATGATCCAAGAACGTCGGATGCTTGGCTATGGACCATCGTGGGAAGATGGACCAACTAATGGATCACAGGACCCAACAAAAAATGCCCTGGTGTCTACTGAGCTATAGATAGCTATAGCCCATTTATCCATGAAATACTTCCGGAACATGGAAACATATGGAAAAATATGGACAAATATGGAAAAATATAGAAACATAATATGGAAAAATGAGGTTCTAAACTTCATTTGACCATTGGATTTTGAGGCTTTCCATGGCTTTCCCATCAAAAAATCAGAGAACTCCAACTGGTTTTCACCCGAATGGTCCCATCGAGGTCCCTCCGACAAGCCGTCGGCATCAGGCTCCGGCGAAGTTCTCTTGTTGCATTGCCTCCTGGTTTTTTGAAGCCAAGAAACATTTCGGAAAGACATGGAAAATCGACATGACGATTGCTGTTGACATTGAATTCTATTGATGATCGCGGTTTGGCGGGGGCTGCACTGCATCGCTGCTGTGCACCACTGCCACCCAAAGCAGTCCGCGATATTGATGATCGCGGTAACTTGCATGATCTGAAACATAAAGGGACCCTGTGGTATCTTATGAAAGTGGGATTACACGCCAATGTTTTTGATTCGTGGCTGGCTGGGAAATCTCTGACGTGAACATTCTTGTTCATTTCATGGGAATCCAACGAAACGGTGGTCGTCAGATCATCCAACGCAGCACCCGGTTGGGTTCCATGGGTTCAACCGGTTGAATTTCTTGGGGGTGAACGGGTACCAGTGCACTGCTGACTGCTTAGATTTTTGGGACAACACCTGGCGGCCTGGGTTAAATAGATGGAGCTGGCTTAAAGTTATGGCCTTAGAAATACCAACTATCCCAACTATTGGAATCTAAACATGTATATTAAAGACTAATCATAGTTGGAAGAATCATGGGCACTCATGGGATTGTTAATACCAACATATGCCAACTATATTGGAATATCATGGAATGAAATCTCAGCTGATGTGCCTGGCGGCCCAAGTTGCTTCTATGAACTTCCCTCATGACACAATATATGAGACATATCAATGGGGTTACAATGGTTACAATGGCTACACATTACATCAAATTCCAATGTATTAGTCTAGTTTTTAAGTCCTAAAAACTCGACCTCAGAGTCTGCCAGACCTGCGCAGACTGCATCGCAGTTGCTGTATCATGTCCTGGTACAACTGGATAACCTCTCTTCCTCAAATCCATTGATTCATCATCAAGTTCCCTGTAGCAAAATGACAACGCTTAAGTGTCATTCTCCATGTTCAGACTAAGTGGGCGATAAATGTATAGAATTCTATAGATCTTCGATGGAATATCCATAGAAATCCCGAAAAATCTCCCACTTCTTCCCACTCCAAACTGGGCACATCCACCGCACCGTCCTGCAGTTTGGAGAAGAAGTCGCACACCACGCTGGTGAGGGAAATCCTTTGGGTCCAGTCGGCAGCCACGGAAGTGAAAAAAAGGCACATCTACAGGATGGGGCCCCCAGTCGATAGCGTTCAGTTGCCTTATAAGTGGCTTAATTCTATGATTTATGGTAGATATAACTATAGTTCATGGGGGTTATAATGATGGTTTATAAACCAACAAACATAACTGGGGGGGGCCATCCTGTATGGGATTTCCCAATCAATTTCATGGGAATGAATGACTAGTAACTGAGTAACTATACAGTAATTCGGATATCATGGGGATATTATGCTCCATGGTGCTGGAATATTTACCAACATGTGCCCGAACAAAATCACCCAAATGTAGGTAATTATTGCGCAAATATACCATACATGGAGCATATTGGTGGGGACATTATGATGAGATTTCATGGGGATACCATGGGGATATTTTTATGGGAAACAGTTTTAGAAAGCCACAGGATTCATGGAACTCATAGATAGAATAGTTGGGAATCAATCTGGAAATCGCGTTTGAGTTCTGGAAGGTTTTTGGTGCTGAGATCATGTCTTTCTTACCCTCTGGAAAACTAACAGTTTGCCATGGAAAATTACCACTTTAAATGCGTAAATCATTTATAAATGAGCCATGTTCAATAGTTATGTTGAATTGCCGGATGGTACCCTCTGGTTATTTAACATAGCCATGGAAAATGGCCCATTTATAGATGATTTCCCATTAATACCTCCATTTATAAGGGATTTTCCATGGCTATGTTAAATAACCAGATGGTATATCCTAGAAACACGTCTTTCTCTATTTTGGGGGGGTTCATGTTGGACCGTTGGACCATAGGACCCGGTCGATCTGTTTTTTCGCCAGGTTTGGATCGTAGCCATCATCCCAGGCAATGTGAATATGTAGATGTGCTTGAAATTGGGGTAGGTGGTTGAGTGCATTGAGCCACCCCTCTGAAAAATGATGGAGTTCGTCAGTTGGGATGATGACATTCCCAATATTTCCCAATAGATGGAAAGTCATAAAATTCCATGGTTCCAGTCACCACCAAGCAGCATGGTATATCACTGAAATGACCGAACAATGAATGCATCGTCCAGTCGAATTGTTGTGTCTTCTTTTTAGCATTTTCAGATGTGCCAATGGATAGGGAGCCATCAGATTTACAAAGCAGAACCACATATATTGGCTGTGTACCATTTATTGCTGAACGTATTCCCTAATATTTCTATATTATATATCTGCATAGAGTCATAGAGTTGACTCGGTGGGGTACCAATTTTGATAGTAAAACAATTCTAATACCCTCTGGTAAACTAACATAACTATGGAAAATCACCATTTTTGATGGGAAAATCAACTATAAATGGTCATTTTCAATAGCTATGTTAAATTACCGCAGGGTACATAGTATATAACATGTTTTAACTATGTGTTAACTATTCTTTCGGTAACCACCAATTAATTGTCACGGTTTATCGTACCCCGGTTGACATCAACGCCCCAAGGGGTCATGTTCAACCTAAAAGCTATAGGATTGACATCTATGGTTTCTATTCGGTCAACATTCTCCAAAGATTTCTTGGCTTTGTCTTCAAATGAAGTATGAATATCCCAATTTTTAACCATTTCAATAGGGAAACATTCGCTGAACGTTCGCGTCATTCGGGGTATGCCCTCAGCCACCATCTCCATGTCCAGCCACACACGCGTCCGCAGGTCGTAGAAGGGCTGAAACGAGATCACCTCCGAGGTGTGAATCTTTGGGTTGGGAAACTCACCTGTTATAACCCCAGTTAGAAGTAGGGTAAGTAGACTTAGTCCACTCATAACTGGGGTTATAACATGAGCCACTTGCGAAAAAAGGGGTGAGCCACATTTCTAATGTGGCTATCGCGTACATTCCAAACCCAGAAGCTACGGGGATTTCACCCGGAAATTCATGGGGTATTCCGGTATTCCCGTCCCATCAAAATTGGTTGAGTATTGGATCCATTCATCGCTGTATTTATTTTCATATCAGAGGGAAGGGATGATAATTATCCAACTGAACACTGATATTTCACAAATAGAACTAGAGGATTCCATCGACCAAGGATGGCAACACCAGAATTTCCGTAATTGGATGTGTAGAACCCAGTTACGAAGTGGCTAAGAATCATTTTTGTTGGTTTAGCTATATCATATTATGGCTTCATAGCTATTTAATGCTATTTAGTTTACGGCATATACGGCAGGTTCATCAATATCCGATAGCATCTCCCTACGATTGGGATGAACCCTCAAGTTTCATCAACGAATACAGGGGCTTAAACGACCAAAAAAGGTATTCAACCACCAAACTTTATGGTGGTTAATGGTGATTAATGATGGTTAATGGTGATTAATGATGATTAATGGTGATTGATGGTGATAAATGATGGTTAATGATGATTAATTATCTGGTTGGTGGTTTTCGCCACCCCTCTGAAAAATATATGACGAATCGTCAGTTGGGATGATTTTTCCATTCCCAATACCCTCTGGTTATGACTAACATAGCCATGGAAAATCACCATGCTATTAATAGGTAAACCATCTATTTCTATGGGCCATCTATACCATGGCTATGTAACAAATAACCAGAGGG